TTATTTTAAGGCAGTCATAGGGGCGGGTAGTACTGGAGAAGGTTAACTCCAGTCTTTGCTAAAGCTCATGGCAAACTCTTTTCATAAAGCCAAATATGAGGACCTGTTTTGAAAATTTTCCAGGAGTAAGAAATAAAGGGGGGGGCGCAGGGATAGAAAAAGCTCTTTAAATGACAACAAATAAATAAATAAATAAATAAATAAATAAATAAGCAGTGCCAACCAGCCGGTGACAAACCACAGCCAGACTTCAATCTCAGAGCAGTTAGCTATAAACTGTTAGCAGTTGGAAAGTAAACCTTATGCACACAAAGGCACTGTTTAATTTTCTTCTTGTAATGGTTCTAAATGAAGACCCCATCACTATGCAGTTAAGCAGTATTTCTTGTCCCCCTGAGGCGCTGATCAGTTCTTTTTAATGTGAGAAAACTGGCAGCTCAAAAGCCGTCAATGGAGCTCTCTCAACAAAAGTTCTGAAAAGCTGAATGGGTTGGGTTTGTAACTACAGCATCCCGTCCCCCCACCCCTTGCAGCTTATCTCTTATTCATTCACCTTATATTCTTGTTAAGGAATCATACTCCCAAAATCACGCCTTTGCCATTTAACCTAGGGCCATGGAGGAACTTACAACACACAGAAATGTAAGTCTTCCCCCTCCCCCCCAAACTACATCTGAAGGTGTTCAGACCAATAGGTGGGGGGGAGGGGAGGACAGAGGATCTGGTACCCCAATTTGCTGAGATAACTAGAACTCAAGAGTGCTCAGCGCCCCATTTTAACACCCAAATTTTATTGGCAAACTGGAATGTGTACCTGTTCTAAATTCAGACCCTGCCTCGGTCTCTGAAATTCTGTGACATGTCCACTTAGAAAAGCCAACGTTATAAATAAATCGCCTCCCCTCTCTCCCCCAAGTGAAAGGCCATAAAAGACCTTGCCAGACACGTAGAAATTAAGGTAACTTATGTTCTTGATTTCCCCTCCTTTAAACCAAAAACAGTAAATGAAATAGCAAAAGAGACTCTACCCCCGCCCTGCCCAAGAAAAGGTTTTATGAAAAAGTCAGCTTTAGAATACCAAGGCCTCTGTGTGCATTTCAATCCAAGGCACTGCTGATGGAGAAGCTTCTCCTGAGATTTCTTACTATAAGAATGTGTTGGTTCTAGAAATAAGTACAGCTATTACAACCAAATCTACTAGCAGACTAAATAATTAATTGAAGCGTTGCTCTTTGACCCTTGAAAAGTCCAGTAGGGACACGTTTATAGTAATAATACCTCCGAATGAGCCCTTGTCAAATATTCATTTAGTGGTTAATGTGAGCCATTTTCCCCTGGGACCGTCTGTAATACCAGCTTCCCAGCATTGGCAAGAAACCTTGCTAATCTACTACAGCTCAGCAAAATATTTTAACGCTCTTTATTTAAACTAAGGAGGGGGCTGGGGGTAGAGAAAAAATTGCCGAGGGAACAAACTATAATCCCATCCTTCTGCACATTTCTATTCAGTGTGTAGGCTAACAAAACATTAAATTCACCCCTTTAGACTGGAAATTAAATGGTTTTAGTGAACAGAATAATATCCCGAGAAAGGAACTGAACACTCGACAACTAATTTCAGCGCCGGGAAATAACCATCTCTGGGCAAGTTCAAGGGTTTCACTCCTTCTTGGAAATCATGTTATAATTAAAATATTATATGTTCAATATTAATCTAGCCATGAAACTACACATCTTTGGAGACCATTAACCCAATTAAATGAACGATGACAAATGTATCATTCTTAAGTGCAGATTATCAAAATAATTTATACTTACGAATAAAATAGCTTTCATTTGGTTAGGAGACAGGGAGGGGCAGGAGGGCATGGGAAGTTCTTGTGTTAGGAGGACAATGATGATCATTCAAAACTAGTTTAACTTCCCCAACTATTGCTGTCTTCCCTCTTGCAAAATATTTGAACCTGAGCATTTTGCCAGAAAGTTGTTTTAAGTCTGATTCTGTGGGCTCTTTTTATTTTACTTTTTAAGGGAAGTCAGTGCAGTGCAATTACTCTAAACCTCGATACATATTTCTCATATATCTCTATTTTTCAAATATATGCTCTCCATACAGTTGATTGGCTCAAATGCTGGGAATGCCCTCCCCACCCCCCAGCAAGATCATTTGGATCTTTATTCAAAGTTTCTTTTATTCGTCTGTGAGCAAGAACTGTCGAAAGTGCTCATTACCACGTGAATAATCCGTATATGCATTACAATGGCTGGCCGGGCTGGGGGGAAATTCTTTCAGAGTCTCTGCATTAATTAGGGGAGGGGGGAGAGAAATGCCTGGTTTAGAACTGGGAGCTGACATAATTTTCCTTTCCCAGTAAAATATTACCCTAAAAATGGGGATACAACAAGAATAAAAAAAAAACAATATACACTGAAAATAAAGCAGTCCACATGTGGTCAAAGTACAGAAAATCGGAGGATATCCCAGCCGCACCCAGAACTAACATTACCAACACCAAGAGTAAGAAACACTTTCTGGGAAAACGATAGGATGCAAGCTGAACGGATGAGCTAACTCAGTGGCTGCAACCGGTACTTAAGGTCCCTGGGAAGGTGCTGCCGAATTTCAACTTCTCCAAAGTTGTAACAAGTTGACACAACAAGCCCTTGAAATTGTGGGAAGCAAATCCACGCTCTTAAGAAAGCCTGACTCTTGATTCTCGGTCCCCCTCGGCGGGGGAAGATGAGCGAGGTAAGTAGTAAATAAGGAATTAAAGTCCACCGAGTCCTACACGATTCTCCGTCTGCGCCAAAGCGCGAGTCGGCTGTGATGCAGAAGCCCTGCTAATGCAAAGGCCGGGGCGATGCCCCAACTTTTCCGCTCCCACTGAGGACAACCATAGTCTTTCTTTACCTTTCTTAGGGCAAAAGAAAAAAAACAAATCCAACCTTGTTTCTCCACCCCTTCCCCTCCCCCTCTCCACTACTGTAGTAAAACATGGTTAAAAGATCAAAAGCATAATAATCTCCAAATGTGATTAGACCGGACAAAGTAAAATATCTACCTCAGAGTTGTTTTCTTCTTTAATGCCGCTGTTGCCTGGCTTCTTTTTTGCTTGTTATCAGCTGCAGAGATTATCCGATTTGGGGCTACAGGCTTGGACCCGTGCTGCCAATTTAAGAAATGGAATTCGTGGAGAGAGGAAAAAAGAAAATAAATAATAATACTAGTAATAATATTAGCAGCCGTGATAAGTCGGGGAGTTTTGCCAGACGCTGTTCTCCTTCCCTTGCCCCTAAAAAGGAAAATTAGGGGAGAAAGTTTATAAAGTCAAGGAACAAAGAAAGCAAACCACTTGTTTCCTCTCAGACAATAGCAGGGCTGGAGTAATCCAAACACCCACCCAGCGGATGAGCACTTTGCACGTCTAGTTTGCAATTATTCCGATACAAGAAGCATCATTTCCCCCTATAACCAGGTTTCCAAAGGGCCATTGTACTGTGAAGAGAACGAAAACAAAACCAGCCAACCTCGTTCTGACTTGGCTCAATACCCCATCTGCTAAGCTACACGAAAATTTTCAGAATTGACTCTTTTCTGGCAACAAGTGGCATAAATCAGTTTAAGTATAAGTCCCCATCATGCTTATTCATGCTGCTTAGGAAAGGAGGGGTGGACTTACAATATATGTCTTCAGTTTCTATTTTAGAAATGACGCAGCATTTCACATTTTTCGAGCATTTAATTAATCATCCAGCCATTTATTTGTTGCTGTTAACATTAGCACATGCTACTGGAACAGAGCACCAAGGTTTTAGGGATTTTGCTTTCTTGGACGAGCATATTCCCCAAGAAGTTAAGTATAATCAGTGTTATCCAAATAAATGAAAGACTCGAGAATAATTGCAGTGTCCATATTTCAAAAATTTATTTATCTCAAACTGTGCATAATGGAGTAAAAACTTAAGTTGAAAATGTACCTGTTATGAGGATGGTATTAGTTCAAATATATACATGGATTCTCGGCAGACTGATTCAAATAATACAGAGCCGAATCTTTCAAATACAACTACGGAAAATAAAAGGGGAGGGGGAACCTTAAAATATCACAATAAATTTACAGAAATATTACAAACCATAAGAAAATATTTCAAACACAGTAATTTCATGGTTTTTTTTTTAAATCTGAACAAAATGAAAAGTTGGGAAACAAAAGCTATTATAAATTACCAGTGATGTCAACCTGCATGGCCATTTTTTCTTTTAACAGTAAGTTAAAAAAAATTTAGTACAATCTAAAACTTTTGCTCCTTTAAAGACCACGGAGATAGTTTTACCAGTACTTATCCTAGATTTTTTTCTTTTGTACAATTTTTAAACAATTAAAATGTCCAAATCTTAATAATTTTCTTCTTTCCACGTTTGCAACTGTCCTAAATTTCAGCTGCAGAATCAAAATTCAGCAACGAGCCTTTCCTTGAAAAATATTGGCAAATTCTCAGCTTATAAACAATGGACATTTTGATTGCCATGTTTACCTCGATAAATACTATACAAAAGTTGCTTGCAAATATTAAAACATTTTTTCGTCGCTTGGAGACTAGCTCTAAATATTATTGGTAAAGACTTTTGCAAACTTTCTGCAAAGCTCCTACCGTATCACTAGAACTTTTAAAAAGTTTTGCGTAGTTCTCTTTCCTCCAGATCTATACAAGGTCCATTCCCTCACCCTCCCCAGCCCACCCCACCGGTTTTCTCTGTACAAAAATAGTCCCCCCAAAAGAAGTCCAGGATCTCTCATAAAAGTTTTTTGTCGGTATCGCGGCGCGCCGTTTTGTGAGTGTAGACCGGATCGCTGTTCTCTTTTGCAGACAGATGTCATTTGCTGTGGGTGATGACTTGTTTGGAGCGTACCGGTTTTTTCTCCACGCTGTTTCTTACTCTCCTCCCATGCCCCTCTTTTTTCCTTTGAAAATCCCCCCTCTAGTTCACTGTCCGGCCCTCACATGTGCGAGAGGGGCAGTGTGCCGTTAATGGCCGTGCCGGGCACCGGGCCGCTCTGGTAGTGCTGGGACATGTGAAGTCTGCTGGGCGCGGCTGGCTCCGGCACCTCGGCGCCGGGGAGATACATGCTGATCATGTCCCGGAGGTCCCCGGCCTGGCAGGGCGCCCTGGAGTGGGAGGAAGAGGTAACCACAGGGGGGCTGGAACTGGCCTCAGACTTGACCACCGAGCCCATGGAGCCGAGCGCCATGCCAGGGGTGCCCTGCTGCGAGTAGGACATGCTGTAGGTGGGCGAGCCGTTCATGTAGGTCTGCGAGCTGGTCATGGAGTTGTACTGCAGGGCGCTCACGTCGTAACGGTGCATGGGCTGCATCTGCGCGGCGCCGTGCGCGTTAAGGCCTGGGTGCTGCGGATAGCCCAGCTGGTCCTGCATCATACTGTAGCTGCCATTGCTCCAGCCATTCATGTGCGCGTAACTGTCCATGCGCTGGTTCACACCCGCGCCCAGGCCGGCGCCCACCCCGACCCCGCTCGCCATGCTGTTGCCGCCCGGGGCCAGCAGCCCGCCGGGCAGTGTGTACTTATCCTTCTTCATGAGAGTCTTGGTTTTCCGCCGGGGCCGGTATTTATAATCCGGGTGCTCCTTCATGTGTAATGCTCGCAGCCGCTTGGCCTCGTCAATGAACGGGCGCTTCTCCGTCTCCGACAAAAGTTTCCACTCGGCCCCCAGGCGCTTGCTGATCTCCGAGTTGTGCATCTTGGGGTTCTCTTGGGCCATCTTGCGCCGCTGCCCGCGGGACCACACCATGAAGGCGTTCATGGGCCGCTTGACGCGGTCCGGGCTGTTCTTCTGGTTGCCGCCGGCCGCCGCCGCCGCGGTGGAGTTGCCGCCGCCGCCGCCGCCCCCCGAAGTTTGCTGCGGGCCCGGCGGCTTCAGCTCCGTCTCCATCATGTTGTACATGCGGGCGCTGTGCGCGGGCCCGGCCCGCCGGCGGCCGCCGACCCTCGGCTCGGCCGGGACTTTGGGGGGCCCGCGGGCGGGGGGAGAGGAGGAGGGGAGGCGGGCGGGGGTGGCGGGAGCGCAGGGCTCCTCGAGGAAAATCAGACGAAGAATAATTTGGGGGAAGAAAAGAGAGAGACAAACTGGAACCAGGATAAAAAAAAAAAAAGCGCTTCCCTCCTCTTCTGGCCGATTCAGCCGCCGCCGAAGATTGTTGTTATTATTTTTTGGAAAGGCTTAAGCCCCGGGCTCAAACTTCTCTCCCTTTCTTTCTCTCTCCTCTTCTTTCTCTCAGTCCTAGTCTTAAAGAGGCAGCAAACTACTTTCCCCCTTTTGCAAACACTCTTCTCTGCCTTGACAACTCCTGATACTTTTTTGAACAAGTTAATAGACAACCATCCATGTGATGGGGGCTGTCAGGGAATAAATGGGTTTCCGGCGACCAATCAGCGCTCGGCGGCTCCTCCACTCCGGCCCAGCCTCGGCGCCGGGTTTTGCATGAAACGGGGCGGGGCCTCGGCGCGCGGCCCGCGCGGGGGAGGCCGGGCGAGCGGCGCGCGGGGAGGGGCCGGCGGCTCTCACCGCCCGCCCGCCTGCCTGCCTGCCCGCCACTGGGGAACCTTTGTATCCCCGCTCGCAGCAACAGGTCACCCCGCACGCCTTTTCGAAGGAAGTGGGTAAACAGCACTGAGTCTGCGACGTTTCTCTTGAAACTTCGCAGTGATTCACTTTTCGGCGCACGGTGGGGAGACGGGCCGCCGAGGCGCGGGGGCGGGGCAGGGCGCAGGGGCTGCGCGGGCGCGGGTCCGGGTGCGGCGGGGCTCCCGCTCCTCCGCACGCGTCCCCCAGCGCCGGCCTGTCTGGGCTTCTGCTCGCCCCGCTCTCCGCGTCGCCCCTCCGCGCACTGCCCCGACCAGAAGTTGAAAGCTCTGTCCTTAACGCCCTCCAGGCTTCCACGCTCGGCCGAGGCCGGAGCGGAGGCCAGGCAGGCCCCGGGCGAGCCGCCGCCACGCTCCTCGCTGCGCCGGCTCGGCTGGACCCGGGCGGCCGCAGCCCGGCCGCTCCCCGGCGCGGGCGAAGGGGCTGCTCGTCCTGCCCGCCCCCCCCCCCCGCGCGCCCAGCCTCCCCCAAAGAAGGCTTTCAGTTGTGCAGGTTTCAAAAGGAGGCTGCAGGGGGTGAAAGGGCTCAGCCGACCGACGCCCGGCAGGGCGGGACGTCGGGGGCGCGCCAGCCCCACTTCCTGGCCTGTGCCGCGTGGCGCGGAGGTGGCGTGGGGCCGTCCCCGCAAACTCCCTCCCACGCGGGGTTCCCAAGACGCCTGGGAACCCCGGCACTCTTCTCGGTGACCTCACTGCCCAGTCGGTCGGGATCTGGGGGCTGCACTAGGAGGGGGCCCGGGGCCGGGGGTGGGGGCCGCGTGTTGCGTGCCAGGCACAGGTGCAGGCAGTTGGGGCAGGAGGAAGGCGGCCAGGACCGGGAGAACGGGGAGCCCAGCAAGGCCAAGGCTGGAGGAGGATGGGGTGGGGGCGGGCGTAGGGGCTCGGAAACCCTGCCCGCCCAGGACCCAAGAGGGTAATTTTAGCCGCTGTCCCATTGTCCGGACGTAAAGATTTCAATAGGTAGGCGCTCAATGCGGAGCGCAAAGGCAGCACGTCCGTTACAAATAGGTAGTTTTGTTTCTCTTGTTGCTACACGGAGTCAAACAAAGCCCCGTCTAAGTTTCCTTCCACTCTCTTGTTGGGATCTTTGTGGCTAAAATGCACTTGACTACAAAGCGGGGGCGGGGTGGGGGAAAAAAAAAAACCTTGATGCCATTTCTTTTTCATAAAGGGCTTAAACCATCGGGGTTACTTATTTCTTTCTTCTGTAACACTCTCCTCCCCCTCCTCCCTGATCCACCCTACTCACCCTAAGAAAATGTACTAAACTGTATCTACTGACCACATTCCACTTATTATCTTTACAGAACTTTCCATTGTTTTGTTTCTTCCTAACTTCCACAGAACCGTCATCATCCCGACTCCAACTTCTTCAATCCCTGCCCTCCCAAGCTTCTCTGTTCCTGTTCAACTCAAGATAAGTATGCTTACTGGAAACTCAGAAAAGTTGAGAGAAAGAATCCTGCAGCAGTCTTTTCTCTGTAAATTATTTCCAATCAACCCCGCCCACCACCCCCCCCCCCCCCCGCAGGTTTTCCTTTTCCTCTTAAGTTACGGTTTGCTTTAGTTGTTGGGAACCAAGGAAGGAAGAGACTGGCCTCCTCGAAACGCATCAATATATCACTCTTTAAAAATAAAGCAATATCTTCGGCTTATTTGAGATGTAATATTAAACTAATCACACACACCGGAAGAGTAGGGAAGAGAAAAGATTGCATGGATTTGGAGAAGAGAAGGCGGCCACTGAGGCGGTTCTGTGAGACTTGGTTTCAGGGATGTGGCTGGTGCGCCCCCTACTGGTGGAGTCTGTTTTCCAAGACTGGCTTTTACCTTTAAAAAAAGGTGTTTGGAAATAAAGAAAAAAACGATGAGGGCGATGGGAGGAAAGTCAAATTAATTACACTTAATCTAAACAAAAGGAAAGTTAACATATCATGTAAGCGATGGAACCAAATAAGAATCAGGTTTAATTTGCTTAACTTATATGTACATATATAACCCCTAGAAAAGTGGGAGGTTAAACCATGGGGAAAAAGAGGTACAAAGTATGAGATTGAACATATGAATGAATTACGATTGTCCAGAAGCCACGGAGGGCAGACCAAGCATTCACTTTATAATTGTGTATGCATTGGTCCGCATTATTCCAAAAACCAGAGGAAAATAAAAACTTATGGATAATTATGTTTGAAGATAAAACCAAGGGGTTGGTGTGGATAATGGTAGTGTATACATATTAAAATACATATTAATAACTGATGGTTATAGAAGCAGATATTTCTAATCTCTTACTCTCTCTCAAGGGGAAGTGATAAGGAGCACATTTTTTTCCATTGGGATGATATATAAGAGCGTTTATACATTCTCAGATGCCTGTGTTTGTGCCTAAACTCTATAATAATTCATTTAAGAGGTTAAAGGGGCTGGCTAGGTCTTTTGTTAATTGCTTTTATCATATCAATAAGCTATGGAAATACATTACAATTGTGTTATCATTGGTCGCATTTATTTACAGCTTTATTTTAATTAAGCTTGCTGTACTTATCAAGGCAATAAACTAACTGTGGCTGGTGTTTATGCATAATAATGTGCTATGAAAATAAGATTAAAGAAGATGGTGATAGCAGAAACAATTGTTCTCATTGGATTTTTTTTAAAAAAAAGAACATATGCATTAAAAAATCAGATCGCCAGCCATTCTATTTCGGGGCCATCATTGGCCCTGAAACATTATGACAATCAAACTGGATAAAAGAAGCAGTACTGTTTTAGGTTTGGGGATGGGGTAATACTAGCAATATCCTGACTGCTGGGGAATCAAAATAAGAATGGGAGTGGTTCATCCTCCAAAATTTAAAATGTTGCCACGGGCACAGTTTATGAAAATTGAAAGTGCTTAATCCAAAGAGAGTGTAACATTTCCCTTTCATGAGCAGCAAAAAGCAGCACACTTTTAGAGCAAGATTAGAAATTAAGAACAAAAATGCCTAGTTTCTGAGATATTCAGATTTGATTTTGTTCTACCATAGGCTCAACTGATTAGGTGTAGCTCAATTTTATTTAAAAATAAAGTTTTGCATTGATGTTTTTCTCCTAAACTCCCCTCATACCTCCTCAAGTATTATATCTGAAGCCAACTAACAATTTTGTGGATAGGGGACTGTAGACTTATTTTTTCTTCTTAGTGGCAAATAGAGGTTTAACTTGCAGTAATTAGGTGAGAACTAGCCAAGCATCTTACTATTATGATGCTTGTTAAAAAAAAAAACGCTTCTTTTCTGCATCTGCATTTGAGTGTGTTCCCCTCCTCTCTTAATCTTCTTATGGAAATGAAGGCAAACGGCAGGGAACCTGCAGAGTCTTGGAGAATGTCCTTGTTAACTGGAATTTCTCAGCATTGCTAATTAGCAGAGTTTGACGACGACCACCAGTATTGGGGGGGAAAGCTCTGTTTAACCACTCACAAACCATCCTGAGGAAGAGCAGACTAATTTTATTTTGTAATTAAAATCTGAAAAGGGCCCTATTTGACAGTTAGGGCTATGAGAGTTTTATCTCCCCGTGAAATAATTACTGCCTTGATAACTCAATTTTCTGAAAAATGTCAACTGTGGGCTCCAAAAGTTTTAATTTCATTACATAAGGAAAAAAAAAGAAAGAGAAATAGAAGAAAATGTACAGAAAGGCTTTCTAATTCTGGAGCTGGTTAAATGTATTAGGAGCCAGATTTGGCCAAATGAAGGGTTATTTTCCTCCCTTTTTTGTTACGTTTCCTCCGGACCCTAACCTTCCAAATACATCCACTCTCAAGTGGCCGTAGCAGTGACCATGCTTCAGGGGGAGAGGTCACACCAGTACGGCAAGTCAGAGGCCAACAGAAGGAAAAAAAGACATGTGGCAACTCAAGAAAATGTCCTGTTTTGAACGCCCCAAAGTAAAGGAAAATTTCAATGTTTAGGACAATGCTGGTGCAATCTGGTAAGATGAGATTTTATTGATGTTTATCACCCTAGCAGAAGAAAACTGAGAATTACAGAGTAAAGACACTGGTATAAGCCAATTTTAAAAGTGTTTCCTTCCCCCTACTAAATCACAAAACACTTCAATCACTCCAAATTGGAGCATGCCACAAGAATTCTGGAATGATCAACACTTGATTCT